CGGGTATCCAGGCCACCCACACGTTACGCTAGGCTGTGATCATAATTGAGTGGAAGTTGCATGATGGATAAATTGTAGGCAGTGTAGTGGATATGGTGTAGATGATTTCACTGTTTATTTACAGTATCTTAATGTTACTTTGCTTTGATAAACTATAATTAGTCCCTCATTATGGTTGTATTAATTAAATTAATTAATTTAAATGAAGTGCGGTGAATTTATGTGTGACTTTCTCCCTGATGGTGACAGTAAGTGTATGTGTAGTGTATGTATATATGCATGTATGTGTTCATGAATATGTATATGGCCATTTGTACTTGTGTGAGGTTAAATAATTCCATACAATTCCCAACTTCATCAACGGTAAATAATTTAGTTATGTAACACGCTATCACGTTAGCGAATTTTATTTTTAAATTCAGACAGTTTCCATTCATCATAATTATTTTTATTACTGTGTTTGATTTCGTGTTTTAATGGGAACTCGCGTTACACAAAATCACAAACACTTAAGTACATACACACAGACACGTTCAAACATGTACGCAAACACATAGCAAAAACACTCATTTATACAGACACTCATATAAGTACATACATTCAAACATAACATACAGAGGCACGTACTCATATACAACCTCACAAACACTGGCTATCAGAAACACTCGCACATTCACTCTCATCCACCTACTGACTTACATAATCATTCATGGGTAAAGCTGAATCACTCCTTATTCACACAAATCAGATGGTACATTAATTTAAGCTCTGATTCGTCTAATATGCTACAAGTCTTTTAGTACAGTACATTATATGCCAATGTCTGAGTGAACATCTTGTAAATAATGTACATATCATTTTCTTTATCGTTAAAACTCAGTGGAACTTTTAATGCAATAATTTATTAAGGAAATATTTCGCTAGAAGGATTTATTTCTGTATGTATATTATCTAGAAACTGGCTGTACAGGTAGGTACCCCATATTGGCCACAGCTGTACAATATCTATGTACAGGGGGGTGCTGGTGGTAGAATGGTACCGCTCTTGCCTTCGCAAGCGAGATGTCACGGGTTCGATTCCCGGGCTGGTGGAAGTTGTTTGGACACACTTCCTAGCCCCCATTAGTCCCTGTTCACCTAATAACTTGATGACATAAACCATTGACTCTCCAGGCTTCTATGCCCATGACTCTTCAGGCTTCTTCGCCATTAACTCATGAGACATAAAGGCAAGCATGAACTTAGCATGCTTCCCTGTTGGGCACTGTAAACGCTTCTGCGCTTCACCTTGCACAAGGCTGTGGGGGAGTGCTCAATAAATAAAAAAGAAAAACAAATGTAGGTACAGATATGGGTCAATGTGTTTCACCCAGAGCTTGTTTAATTGTATCTTGACGCGTTTGTCTAAATAATAGCTTAAAGAAGTCAAGTCGATATATACTGTATAGATCTATCCAAAGCCTAGTCTCTAATCCAGAATATAAGAGTTTGTTTTCATAATATTTTTAAATGTATAGTATTTATGGCTACTCATGTATATGTATTTATCTATATAGTTTTGTTACATTATTTTATAAAACGAAAATTATCTTTTGGTGACTACTCTTACAGTAGTTACATAATTGTCATTTGCTTCACTTCCAGTCATGTAGAGCAGGTTACATATGACAGTGATACACCTCCCTATATTAACCCCATCAGTCCAAAGGCATTAGGTTAGGTTAGCAAGAGAAAAATCCCTAATTGTCGTCGTCATACTGAAATGATTAGAGGAGAGGAAACTAAAGCGTTTACTGTTACTCTAAATCTAAACGGTAGAATTTCTAATAGGGGTGAAATTTTCAGCTGAGTTAGATAGTTCGCAGATCTGGTCATGGAAAATAAAAATCTGACATGTGGGAACCTTGAACCATGTTAACCTGATCCTTAGGTTAGCATTAGGGTGATTAATATTCAGGTAATGTAAGCTGGGGGGGGAGAGGGGGCAATCTTCAGGTGATCTTTTTGGGGATATAATTCCTCATTGTTTTTTTTAGGGTTAAGTCAAGTGCATTGTTACTTCTTTACATATGAGGAATAATCACTGAACTCGCCCTCAGTCTCATGTAAACACATCCAACCTCATTTCATCTTTAATACAAGAACCAAAACGTTACTTCCAGTCTACACGAAATATAAAAAAAAAAAAAAATAATTTTCTAATTAAAAAAAATGTAAAAACGTTTCTCTAAAGTTTTCGCATTTTTTTTTCTCTTCCTTTACATTAAGAAAAAGTCAGCAGCGTGAAGTATTTTTCTCATCCCTTGAACTTAATTTAAATACGGAGAGTAAAAAGCTGGGAGGTAGGACGGAGGAGGAACTCTTATTTAAGGATTTTAAACCCTGAATGACGAGAAGGTGTAATCGTAGGAGGGAACACGGTTAAGAAATTCTGAGGAGGCGGCCTTATTTCCACCCAACTTGGCTCACTGAGGATGGAGCCACTTGTGTCCGTAATATGTGAAGGATGTTCCTTTAATTATAAATAACTCCGCATTTGCTTCAAATTCTTCATAGTTTTACTTTCTGAAAAATATAATAAATGAAATAGATAACCTGAAAATTAGACGCCCTAGGTTATTTCATCTGATTAAACACCCTAATGTAAACTTAACTTGTCCTAACCTAACCTAACCTAACCCCCAGTGTAACATTAGGGTATTTAGTCATCAGGTGAAATGTCCTGGGGGTGTTAAATCTCCAGGTGTCCCCCCCCCAAAAAAAAATAATAATAATAAATAATAAAAATAAAATAAAAATCTAAAAAATATAAATAAATAAATAAATATATCATCTTTTCACACCATGAAAATCCTATGTCGAAGTAAACAATTATTTTTTTCCTAGTATTAATACCACATCCTTGAGTTGAATTACAATATCCTGGAGTTGGTATGTTCAACCCTTCGCCTGGATCATTTAGTCCCTCTCCCGCCCGTTCTTAGAATCCAGGTGACGTCACTGTGTTTTGGGGGACATGCCTGAGGTTTTGTCTCTGTTTTCATTACCACGTCATGGAATACTGGGGTTCAGTTTGGCTGCCAGGTGTGTTTAGATGTGTTCAATCTGGCCGACAGGTGTGTTTAGATGTGTTCAATCTGGCCGCCAGGTGTGTTCATTTTGTCCGCCAAGTGTGTTCAATCTGCCCGCAAGGTGTGTTCATTTTGTCCGCCAGGTGTGTTCAATCTGCCCTCCAGGTGTGTTCATTTTGGCCACCAGGTGTGTTCAATCTGCCCGCCAAGTATGTTCATTTTGGCCGCCAAGTGTGTTCATTCTGGCCGCCAGGTATGTTTAGGAAGCACCACCTCACCTGGAAGATCTCGAAACTTACACACAGCTTCCGCCTGACCGTGACTCACCTCCAGGCAATTACTGGGACGCCAGGTAGCTGAATCATGCCCCCCCCCCCCTCAATAACAACCTTTAAGGGAGCAATAGAGGAGGGGGGTGGGGAGGAGGAGGAGGAATTGGTGAGAGGATAAGGGGGCAGGTTTAGAAGGAGGAGTATAGGGATTAGGGAGAGAAAGAGAATAATGATGATGATGATGTAGATAGATAGATGGATGATAAGGGAGTAAGAAGAGAAAAGGGAAAAATGTAAACGATAAGAGTTGATGTATAGGAAGAGTAAGGAAGGAAGAAAGACACATTGAGAGGGATATGATAATGCTCTATGAATATTGGAAAGGAGAAAACGATGAATAAATTAGGATAAACTTAAAGAAAAAAAACAATAAATAATCTGTGTAATATATTTAGCTTGTCGTTAGAGTATTTATTCAAAATTAATTAACAAAGTAACAAACGCCTAAGTACACATAAACATATTTTGGTTGTGAAAGTATAGAAATAATAATATAAATTAGTCTGCTAACCTCTATTAAATCTGTTTACCATAGTTTATATACCTATACTGTCTATATACTGTACCTTTGTTCGTTATACCTACACTGTATATATACATTTATTTGTATACTTGCACTGTCCTTATACTGTACAGCGTTTGATCTGTCTATTAAGGTTTAAAGCAGTGTTGTAACTCGAGCGCTGCTTTCCATATACAGTGAAGCTGGGTGTGTGAACTGTATACCCGTGTACGGTCTTGTAACCCTCCCTGTATTTACTTGTATTGCAGTGTATAATTTCCGTCCGTCACGCCCTTAAACAAAGCAAGAAATCCAAGGTCTTGTCTATTGAAATCTCTCTTCGAACAATACGACCCAAATCTTTGTGCATTTGTATATTTTAAAAGTGTATGAAATGGAAATACACATGTGGGGTTCTTGGCTATAAAGTGGTAAGCTACAGTTTCGGGTTATGGGTCGTTTTGAGGAGGTAGCACGTGTGTGTATATTGGGACGAAGGATCTACCTGTGAATGGCCGGAGCTTCGCATTCTGGCCGACAGATGGCTCTCGACGTGTACACTGTTACCATCTCGCGGGGTACGACTTTACGCATATAATCAATCATAATATCGGCGTATGGTTGTTCTGTACTGGTTTAAAGACTGCCATTAACTGCTTAAACTTGGAAGTAAGCGTTAATGTCTGTCGTATTTGAAACAGGTTCTAAAGCATTTATTTTTCTTACATACTCCATACATGGGCTGCATGATAATCAAGATTTTATGTCAGTTTCTCGATATATGTTAGATTTTTGCATGGTTTAGTGGTCTGATCAGAAATATATAAACAAACTACCTGACCCGCAATTTTATAAAAGTGAGTGGAAGTATTTTATCTGCATCAACACAAAGAGTGAGCAATAACACATATTTCTGTTGTTCACTTGCGTTCTTCACTGTGAATTAAGAATCATATTGTTTGGTGTATTATTGTGCGAATTTGAAAATATTAGGACATCATGATCATCCCATGTGAAAAAATATCCAGAATTTAATCCGGCGTGGCAACTCGACGCGAACAGCCTCCCAAACATTGTCTTCAGTGGCAGTCGTGTATTTGATGTGAGAGGGAGAGGGTTGTGCCGCTGTCCTCCGAGTTTGACCAGTGTTGGCCCACGTTCTTTCCTTTATCTATAAAATTTATTTAATTGTGAAATGTTTACCGTGGAACGTCTTATTAACAGTGGATATTATATAACGGTGGTAAAGTGAACAGAAGCCATAGTAATATTTTTTGAACTAAAGTGAACTTGAATGCTCAAAAGTTTTATTCGAACTTGGTGTAAAACTATATATATATATATTATTTGTGTAGTCATCTCTATTAATTTAGTTGCATTTCCCGTGTGATCTTCAGCTTTACCATTGTGTTGTGATATTGTGTTATGTTGTGAAATCTCTGGAACTGTCGCGTTACAAAGACTGGACTGCCAGAGACAACCCCCACGACCCCTGGCCTGGTAATGTTTGTTACACTCATGTGATAATAGACTGGACAGAACGGCAGAATATTAAACACTTGGACATTATCACTGGACGTTGGTCAGTTCAAACTTACAGGTACTGGTATTAGTGGTGTACTTACTGGAGTATTAAGCTTATTATCGGTGTATTAAGCTTAAGAGGTGAATATATCTGGATTACTATTAGGGTTTCATATAACAAGGAAATATTATCTTTTATCTCTGTATTCAGATAACCCAGTGTTGAGTATGACGCCCGCACATGTGGTCATTATTATGCGGAGGGCTGGATAATGACAGCGTGATGCCCTGAGTGAGTAGTTGGTGGTTGTAGGCCGTACATTACCGTTTTCTGTGAGCATCTGGTAGTGTGTGTGTTGTGTGTGTGTGCGTTGAACAAAGACGCCTCACACACACACAGAATGGTTGTAATCTGTGCATGAAATTTTGTTTTAATCGGGGGTGAGTTGGGATGAGATGTAATATATATATTGTTTGATGTGGCAATTTATGGTAATGCAACAATACATACTGCACAGTACGTTCAGGATGTGAGATGTAATATGTAATTGTTTATATACAATGTAAATTTTCACTCCTTTGAGGTGGAAATGAAGTTATGTTTAGAAATAGAAGAATTGTGGCATGACATAGTAGCAGGTTGTAAATATAGCTCAGCAAACGTCATAACGTAAACTTAATGTCTGGCTTATGAAGTGAGGGGGGGGGGGGAATGTTTCCTCCACTCACCAGACTGGTTTGGGCTGAGGCAGGAGGGCGTGTTGTTGTGCAATGAGGAGGGGTAGAACAGTTGTTGGGGCGGTCACTCCCTACAGTACACTGTATCTCCTCCCACACTCACCACCACTCCCAACGGCCTACACTGTACCTCCCACACCCACCACCACCACTCCCTACACTGTACCTCCTCCCACACTCACCACCACTCCCAACACTGTACCTCCCACACTCACCACCACCACTCCCTACACTGTACCTCCCACACCTCACCACCACCACCTCACACTGTACCTCCTCCCACACTCACCACCACCACTCCTACACTGTACCTCCCCCACTCCACCACCACTCCCTACACTGTACCTCCTCCCACACTCACCACCACCACCCCTACCTGTACCTCCCCCCCACTCCCCACCACCACCACTCCCTACACTGTACCTCCCCCACACTCACCACCACCACTCTGTACCTCCTCCCACACTCCACCACCACCACCCCCTACACTACCTTCCCCCACACTCACCACCACCACTCCCCACACTGTACCTCCCACACTCACCACCACCACTCCCTACACTGTACCTCCTCCCACACTCACCACCACCACTCCCTACACTGTACCTCCTGTGAGGCCAGACATTGCCTCACACGCCTGTACTCACGCATTTGTGAATAAGTTACCCTTTATGTATAGAACTAAACAAATAATGTAAATGAAATACTGTGTAACATTCAGTGCCATAATATCCTGACAACGGGGGTTAATTATTATGACCCTTTGTAAACTCTACTCTGTAATCCTTTTGCGCACCGCTCACAGGATGAGTGTGGGGTGCACAATAAAGTAGCAGCTGTAAGCGGCAAAATCAAAATAAAAAATCAATACCTCCTCCCACACTCACCACCACCACCACCACTCCCTACACTGTACCTCCCACACTCACCACCACCACCACTCCCTACACTGTACCTCCTCACTCACCGCCACTCCCTACACTGTACCTCCCCCCCACACTCACGCCACCACCCCCAACACTGTACCTCCCACACTCACCACCACACCCAACACTGCACCTCCCACACTCACCACCACACCCAACACTGCACCTCCCACACTCATCACCACACCCTACACTGTACCTCCTCCCACGCCACCACAATGAGGAGGGATAGAGCAGTAGGGGCCCAGGGCAGTCACTCCCTATACCCACCACCACGACACCTGGTTGACGCTCCTAGCCTCAAGGTCCATTATGTTCTCAGTAATGAACACGCCCAGTCAGTCTTGTTTATATATGCGTGTCCTTGTGAGAGGAGTTTTGTGTGTTTGTTTTATAATATGGCATTAAGAGCAAACTTTTTAATTGACTTTAATAGTTTATTTTTTTTTACCGGGTGTTTGGTTGTTATTCACTTATTCTCTTTTATGCTTTTGTGTAATGAGCTGACTTCGAGGTGTTTACCCTTGGCTGACGACCCATCTTGTTATCCCCAGAGTATAAACCTTCTAACATTGGGTCGTCGTGTTGTTGCTGTGTGAGTTTTGTCATTAATTACTGTTGTTTGGTTGTTATAACGTTCCTAGAAACTATATTACTTTAATCATAGAGCCTCTTGTATGTGGGTATTAGAAGGCTAGACTAAATAGGATAAGTGTAGTTTAATGTGTTGATGACGACGAGGAGGAGAAGCTGTTTTAAATGACCAACTTCCGGGGGAGACGAGGGTTGGCTGGTGTGCATGAGAGACACTGATCTGTTTTGATTTAGTTTGTCCATCATGACTCGAAACTTGTCTGTGTGGTATGTCATTCTAGGCACTGTATCATTAAGAGCTGAAAACGAGTCAGCGGAAGCAGTGTGTGTGTGTGTGTGTGTGTGTGTGTGTGTGTGTGTGTGTGTGTGTGTAACTAGAGCTGGTGACGCTACACGGTCGATATCTGTACACCTGGTACCTGGAGGGGGAGGCCAGGCAGGCAGTGAGAGAGGACAGATGAGTCATTACGCATCACATGAGAGAGAGTAAACATTGAGGAGACTCCGAGAGGCTCCCTAAATATGTTCCTATAGTGAAATAGTGGAGAAATGTAGCTTTTTGACGTATTGGTAAATTGAGGTTGATATATTTACGTATTCGGTACTTGGATTATATTTTAGTCTTGTCTCTTGTAAATCCATCAGTGTCTCGTGAGTTTTGTCTCTTGTAAATCCATCAATGTCTCGTGAGTCTTGTCTCGTAGCCCATCAGTGTCTCGCCAATATGTCTGATAATCCAGGTACAATATGTATCGAGGAGGGCTCACCAAGCAGGCGTTAAGACCGTTTATTCAGTGAGTCACTAAGTTAATCTTATCTTCCCACTCGGCGTTAAGTGTATAAGGTTCCCAAGCATCCCACAGCCCTCATCTGGCAGGCTATAGTCTCGTGCACAATAGGAATTATCAAGTCTCGTGCACAATAGGAATTCTTACCAATAAATAATTCACATCAGGTAATATAATCTAATAAGAGTAAATTATTAAGGTATTTCTTGAACCTTAATTTGAGTGATTTAGTGATGGTTGAACTGTGATGGATGGAACAAGGTAGTTGGCTCGTTTGTGTCCCTGTTCACCTCTAAAGGAAACTTACGATCACCCTGAAGAATAACCACTCCAGCTTATTTCACCCAAAGATTAACTACCCTGACAATATTTGGGGGGGTTAGGTTAATGTTAAGGTGAGAGAAACTGAGGTGATATTCTTCTGTTGATCTAAGTTTAAAGGGAGGTAGGTTAGGTTAGGTTAGGCTTGCTTTGGGGGTAGGGGTGAGGTTAGGTTTGGTTTTGGGGGGTTAGGTTAGGTCTGCTTGGGGGAGGGGGTGAGGTTAGGTTTGCTTGGGGGGAGGGGTGGAGGTTAGGTTTGCTTGGGGGGTAGGGGGGTGAGGTGAGGTTAGGTTTGCTTGGGGGTAGGGGTGAGGTTAGGTTAGGTTTGCTTGGGGAAGGGGGGAGAGGCGGTAATTTTAAAGTGAAATAAACTAGGGGTGGAGATTCTTCAGGTTGTTTATTATTATTAACATATTATTATCGTACTGTTGTTGTTGGTACAGTGTTGATTGCATCGTACCGTATCTCCCTGGACGTACCGTATTTAAGATGAATTATGGCCGTTTCGCTCCATTTGCCAAGTTCATTCTTAATATTTATGGCGGTTATCCACGTCCAGTTGGGCTACCAATTACCAAGTTAATTACCTCCTAATGTTGCTTTTATACAACGTTTCATTTGCCGGAGTATAAAATTAATATTATAAATTTTTAAAGTCCACATGTTATTTAGTTTATACTTGGCGATTTTATTTTAGTAGACAGGGATTAGAATTCAACCTCCGGACAGTAACTCGTCATAAAAATACACATCTGTAACATTTATGTCGCCTTCATTTATGCCCGACTTGGTTTATCAGGTTTGAATATTGGGGGAAAAAGTTAACGAAAAACGGCGTATGAAGCACAAAAGGTCGGGTCGCTTACGTGTTTGACTCGAGACTCATGGTAGTGAACAGGACTAGGTTAGATTATTATGCCATCACTGTATATGGTCGCTTACTGTCCGGGTGAAGCAAAACATGTCCGGGGTGACGACACACACACTACATTGGATGGTGCATTAAAAGTTTAGAGATTCAGTTTCCTTCACCTTAATAATAACGAGACACTCTTTGTCATTGAAGATTAATTACTTCCTGGTAACACTTGTTTAAAAATATATATATATATATTACATTGATATAACAACCTTGGAATTCCTTAGTGTATGAAAAAACAAATTGCATTACTAGGTTGTGGTATAGTAAGCGAGTTGGGTAATGTTATAAAAGAAAATATGTCTTTGTAACAGTGGCGTTGTGTGTTTGTTCATTG